GAAGGAAGGAAGGAAGGAAGGAAGGAAGGAAGGAAGGAAGGAAGGAAAAAGAGATTAAAGGAAGGGAAGGGAAAAAAAGGAAAATGAAGGGAAAGAAAAGGAAAGGGAAAAGAGAAGGGATGGCAAGGAAAAAGAAAAAAGAAAAGGAAAAGGAAAAGAAAGGAAAGGACAGGAAGAGAGACATTTGGTTTTACTCCAAATTGGCATTTGGAGGTAGTATTTTACTGAATGTTTTCTGTTTAATAAACTGAGAATAAGCATCACCTGCGGTCTTCTTTTAACTATTGTATTTTGCATTTTTTATATTTTTGTAGCATTTATATAAACTTTTTAATATTGGAAGCTGCCCAGTCATCCTGTGGTAAGATGGGCGGTCCACAATTTTAATAACAATAACAACAACAATATAAATAAATAAAAGTAAATGTGTGTACGAATGGAAGAGACAGGAGACATTTTATCTCTCTAGGGCAGTATCTGGTTTGCTCTTTGTCTTACTGGCCCCTCTTTCCCTACATCTTGAGGAAAATAAAGAAAACAAAATATATATTTTTTTTAAAAAAAAAAAACCCAGACAGGCCAAAACAAGCTGTTTCCTCATGACAAGCTTGGCTGGGCTGCAGCCTGGCACCCGTGCCTCCAAGCTGCAGCTCCAGGAGGAATTAAAGCCATCGCTTTAATGGGCACCGCGATCCAAGGCCTCCTAATGCAATGAAGGTTATCGGCCAACTTTCCCACATAAAGCCAAGTTTGAGCCCACACACACACACGTGTGTGTGTGTGTGTGTGTGTGTGTGTGTGTGTGTGTGTGTACACAGAGAGGATTAGAATGGCTCTCAGAAAGAAAGAGAGAAAGAAAGAAGAGAGGGGGAAAAAAAAAAAGCTGGACACAGCTGTTTCATTTCCAGAAAGCTTTTAAAAGACAATATTAGGATGGGCTCGCTGTTAACTTACCGTCCTCGTACGCTGACGCAGCCAGGGAGCTGTTTATTCTCACAAAGGAGGCATGTGGCCGGGGGCCAGGCTCCACCGAGCCGTGCTCCGGTTCCAGGATGGGGGCCGAATAGTCCCAGGTGCGCGTGTCCCACAGCTTCACATCGCCCGACGTGTACCTGGAACGGAGAGCCAAGCATGAGGTCCAAGAGCTGCAGGGGCCACAAGGACGTCTGTGATGACCCAAAGGGGCGTGGCACAAAGGCCACGCAGTCAGATAATCAATAGGAGCCCCTTTATTAGCTCCAACTTTGCCCCCAATGTCCTGGTTACCTTCTGGGCCGGGGAAAAAAACTCTCCCAGGAACAGCCTTGGGCTGCAGAAAATCAAGTCCAAAACGTGGTCAACAAAAACTGTAACTATAAGTCCAATCAAGGCAAAATTCCAGACATGAAGGCACGGCAATAACTCAACACGGTTGGGAAGACGCCAGGAACACAGATAAGCAATATCAACACAAGATAAACTCACGTTTGTTCCCAGCAGACGCCGCACTTAGCTTGCATCTCTTTTAAACTCCCTTCCCAGCTGTGGCTAATGAAGGGAATCAGGGCCCTTTCCTCCCCCGTAAGCCACACAACCCATGTTGCTCCCTTCTCCATTCCACCCTGCGTGCCCTAGGATGAAGAGGGGCTGGGGCTGGGTCTTCCTTTGAACTCCCTCTCCCTTGCTCTACCTCTCCCCTGCTCTGCCCAGCCGGACTTTGCCCTTCCGCAGTTTCCTCCACAGCCAACGAAGCCACACTCCCACTCCCTGTTGGCTGTTCGTCTTCCTCCTCGGATTCAGACTCCGACAGGGGCATGACAGACTCTTTGGTGGCTAGTGTGGAGTTTGTTTCGGACCCAAAGTTCCTTCCTAGGAGGGACGGAGGTTCTTTCTGCAAAGGAGAGTAGGGGTCCTGCTCCTTGGCTCCTGCCGGGGGCTGAGCTTGTGGCTAGGCCAGGGAATTCAGCAGGGAGCCTTTCGTCCTTACAGCTACGATGGACTTATGGCTACGATTGAGCTGTGGCTAAGCGAGGCAGTTGTTAAGTGAGTTTTTGCCCCGTTTTATGGCCTTTCTTGTTGCCGTTGTTAAGGGAATCACTGCAGATGTTGAGTTTGTCGCACCAAGTGAATCTGACTTCCCCACTGACTTTGCTTATCAGAAGGTCACAACCCCAGAACGCTACAATAGTTATAAATATGAGTCAGTCACCAAGCATCCAAATTTCGTTCAACATGACCATGAGATGCTGCGACGGTCTTAAGTGTGAAAAACGACCATAACCTTTTTTCAGTGCCATTGTTAACTTCAAACGGTCACTAAATGAACTGCGGAGGACTAACTGTGATAGCAATAGCATATATTGGCCCATAGTGCTTTACAGTTAAAATCCAAAGCATAGTTTCTTGGCTTCATGTTTTCAATTTTAAGAACCCAAGTCGTTCTCTAAAGATTGGCATTTCTGTGGCCAACATGACACCCTCTGGATGGGTTCAGTAGAGCAGGAGAAACTAATCAAGGGGAGAAGCAACCTGGAATGAAGGAGAAAGTTCCAAACAGTGAGGACAATTAACCAGTGGAACAGAAGTTGCCTTCAGAAATCGTGGGTGCTCCATCGCTGGAGGTTTTTAAGAAGAGGCTGGACAGTCACTTGTCTGAAATGGTATAGGATTTCCTGCTTAATCAGGGGGCTGGACTAGAAGACCTCCAAGGTCCCTTCCAGCTCTAATCTGATGTGCTGGGGGGGAGGGGGGCAGAGAGGAATGAAATGCTCTCCCAGTTTTTGGTCAAGCATGGGAATCTAAATCCCAGCCCTTAGCATCCGGCAGCTTTTTTTAAACTGTTCAAACTTCAGTTCAACTTAACTAAAAGGAGAAAAGCTGGGATAGACCTAACTTTAAGGTACAGTAAAAAAACAAACAAACACTGACTTCCTGATAACATCCACCTTTCGATAGAAAGAGGAGAAACAGAGAAGCTGACGACAAAAGGAGTCTTTTGCAAGCGGCGGAAAGGCGCTGGGTGCTAGGCCAACCAAGTGGGGCTGAAGAGGCTGGCAACTCCCTGGATAACTACCCCCTCCATCCCCCCCCAAAAAAGCAACAACAAGAACAACAACAACAAAAGGACAAAGCTGCAAAAAAGCTCGAGTGGCCACGCCAAAAACCCATCTCTCCAGGGCCTCAGATGTCCTCATCACTGCCTAATGACAACCCGACTCTGCCAATTAAAGACTCGGTGATCGTTGTTAGTCAGCTTTTGGCCCCACGACGTTGATGGCTGTCTCATTAGCGTTGGGTGCAAAAGCACAACTTTTAAATGACGCACGCGAGCTGAGAAATGCGCCGCGGGGGGGGGGGGGGAGAAACGAGGGGTCGATAAAGAGCGGTTCAAAGCCGTTGCACCTGCGCTGGCGTGTTAGGCTCGCTCACAAACTCTGCTTCCTGTTGGAAAGGTGAGGGAGAGGGGGAGGCTAGGTGAGTTACACCAGGGAGCTGTTTGGAAGTTGGCTAGTCGGGTCGCGGAGAGGAATCGGGGCCCTCGAAGTTACAGCGTTCGCCTGGCAAGCGAGCAGAAGGCGGAGCGAAGGAAGGCAGAAGAAAAGGAGATGGTGGCCCCCGATGCTCATTTCTATTCGCAAGTCCTGTAAAAACATGAAGTGACAGAATCCGTTTGAAGGTGGGTTACTAAAAGCCCCCCCCCAACGCGATCCATTTGTTCAACGCATAACTCCAGGAAGGAAGAGGGGGGTTGACCTCCAGCCCAGCCCTATCCTGGTTCACCTGTGAGATTCCTTCGGCAGAAGAGTTGCTTGCACAACTATAATGATGTGGGAAAATACCTGAACAAAGCTGAATACCATATACATCACTCTGAGAAGCACAGAGCTGAAGACAGAAGCCTGAAGATGATGAATGAGACTTCATCGAAACGTTGCCTAGATACTTCCAATCTTACGCGGGAGAAAACCCGAATAACCAAAGATCCATATATATATTACCTGGAGCTCCTAAATGAAACATAGGACACAACCCTAAAAATACATGCACACCTTACACAGGTACATGACTTGATGCCCAGAGTCATTGGGGGGTTAGACTAGATGACCTACAATGTCCCTTCCAACTCTGTTTATCTGTTAAGAGTCACCAATACCCTAAAAAGATTTAACCACCAGAAGCTGCTAATAAATTTCAATGTTTACTATGAGAAGAAAATAAATTCACGGGGAATAATCGTGGCAACCCTATTTAATGCGTTTAATTTAATTCATGTGTCTTGTTTCTCTCCAACTTTTGAAAAAGTGGCCCCCAGCATGGCCTTAGCTGAACTAAATGCAGAAATCCACCTCAGTAGCAATTATTTAAATTGTGTCCGAAGAGAAAGGGAGAGGAATGTATTTTAACAGACGCCTTTTATATTTTTCTCGCGTGGCCATCAAAGGCCGTGTTCTAAAGCTGCAGAGCATTTAAACAAGGAGAAGAACAGCTGAGGCTCAGCCCCACTCAATGGGGCTGTTTTACATTTGCATGTACTTCTCCCCTAATTAATATGCAAAAAGGACCGGGCAACGAACGGGCTTCGAGAATAGCTGGGCCCAAGGCAGAAATTACCATGGGGGGGAAAAAAACAGCTGGAGAACTCTCTTTCATCTTGCAGATAGAACAACTCTCCCTCTCCAAGCTGTCTGTCTCCATCCATCGAGGGAGAAGAGTCTGGATCAGGATGAAGGATAGAGGGAGAAAAGTCTGACTCTCATCGATTAAAAAAACCATGTTGAGACTCTAGAAAGAGTGCAGAGAAGAGCAACCAAGAGGATTAGGGGGCTGGAGGCTAAAACATAGGAAGAACAGTTGCAGGAACTGGGTATGTTTAGTTTGATGAAAAGAAGGACAGGATAGCAGTCTTCCAATATCTGAGGGGTTGCCCCAAAGAAGAGGGAGCCAAGCTATTCTCCAAAGCACCTGAAGGGAAGGGAAGAAGCAATGGATGGAAACTGATCAAGGAGAGAACCAACCTAGAACTAAGGAGAAATTTCCTAACTGTGAGAACAATTAATCTGTGGAACGACTTGCCTCCAGAAGTTGTCAATGCTCCAAAACTGGAGGTTTTTAAGAAGAGACTGGACAGCCATTTGTCTGAAGTAGTATAGGGTTTCCTGTCTGAGCAGGGGGTTGGACTAGAAGACCTCCAAGGTCCCTTCCAACTCTGTTATTCTGTTAGTTAGGGGGAAATACGGAATGCTTGAGACCTATCTTGCAACCAATAATCTGCTTTCAGTTTGAGGGGTAGAGGAGAACAGTTTGGGACTGAAGGAAGGATGGAAGGAGAACGGTCTTGGCCGGAAGCGGGAGGGAGGGGAGATTGGGGTGGGTCTGTATGTGAACGGCTCTCTGCTTTCTCCTTGCTTCTTCTCTGACATCGGAGACCTCCTTCTGGAGGGAGTGTGTGTGTGTGTGTGTGTGTTTTCATTGCGAACACTCTGCCCGGCAGTTGTTTTGTGTGTCAAAACCTTGGATTCTTTTCATTGGAGATTGGCGATGTTTGTGGTTACCTCACTCCACAATCAATGCGGCACACACACACACACACACACAACCAGCCTTCCATGCGGACAGGCACCTCCAAGGGGGCTTAAAGCAACAGGGTCCCTGGTCACGTGGGCCTGGGTTTCAAAACAAGACGCCACCTTCTGCCTCTCCGGTCCGCCCACCCACCCAACGCCCCCCCCTCCCCAAACTATAGAAAATGCTGCGAAACGCAGAGGCTTTTCAAGGACACTTTCCACTCGCAAGCAATTAGCCTGCACACCGGCAGGGTTGAACTAGGGGAGGAAATTGTATCTGCAGATTGAAATTTGAGTAGCTCTTTCATCCTTCCACTTTAGAGCTTAAATTCTCTTTCCTGCCTTAAGCAAACCGAGTTTTAAATTACCAGGGGGGGGGGAGAATAGTGGCTTTGATCTGTTTCGCTCGAGTTTTTCAACACCCTCCCAGCAATGTCTAGTCACTTGATGAAAATATGTCATCCTTGTTCTTTTTTTCTCTCTCCCTCCTCCGTCTCCAGTTCTGTTCCAAAAAAAAAAATGTATGCACGAGGCAGCCAACAGGTAAGAATGAGCAGGTGTGCGTTCAACAATCTTATTTTTGCAAAATAACACCAAGAAGCAAACTAAAGAAGATAATTTAGTAGCAAGGAACGTATGAAAACTGAAGTCTTGCCTGCTGCTTATTTAAAATTGTGGTTTGCTTATTCATTAAACCAGTTATACGAAAAAAAGGCAAGGCGTAAGCCATGATAGAGCACTGTGGATTAATAATTCATTAAACCACAGTTGGTTGCTATACAAAAAGAAGGCAAGGCATAAGCCATGATAGAACACATAAACCATGATACACCAATGTGGTTTAATTATTCATTAAATTATTCATTAAATTATCATTGAATTATTCAATAAACATTATTCATTAAACCACAGCTGATTGCTATACAAAAAGAAGATAAGGCATAAGCCATGATTGAGCACATAAGCCATGATAGAGCACTGTGGTTTAATTATTCATTAAATTATTCATTACATTATCATTGAATTATTGAATAAATATTCATTGAACCACAGTTGATTGCTTTACAACAAGAAGGAAGGCCATAAGCCAAGATAGACCGGCTACAATGTATGGGTTCAAACAGGCACCAAAACACTAAAAACTGTACGAAGGCTTAAGAGCAGATCAGGTTTGCATTACTCTAAGCAATGATTAGAAGGTGACTGTGGTTGTGCAGAAAATTAGAAATAGAGGTTTAATGTGATGTGTGGGTCCACTTTAAGACTCGCTTAAATTGTTTTCAGCCTGAGATTTTGGGCAGCTGTTGCCTAACCATAAGGGATAACAGGGGTTAGTTAGACCACTAACCGACATGGCAGCTCCGTCTGATCCAAGGCAACTGAAACATCATTTTAATTGATTAATGGTGCTTGTGTTATCTGCGCTATTCCCCAAGGTCCACTGACTCAATCTTCATAATGGCAGCTTCAAAATACACAAATGATATCATTTGCGTTATGACATCTGCGTAATGACATCATTACCTAGAGGACATTAAGGAGGCCTTCTGCATAATGGCAACATTATCCGGAGAACGCGCCACGGAATTTCCTCCACCGTGGGCAAATAAGTGTTCAGCCAAGATCCAGAAAAGCGAGATGGCGCTATATTTCCTCTATTAAAAAAAAAAAAAAAAAAGCAGTTCCTGATATGGACTGTTATTGTTTTTCCCAGCCAAGAAGAGAATTTCACGATACGTTCACTACTCTAGACGGCTTTGGAGTGTGTCAAGATAGCAAGGCAGGTAGCGATTGCAATGCCCACGAGATCCTACCCTCTCGTTACGGGATTCTAAAATTAGCCCTGTTGATTCTCGATGCTCAACCACACTGCAGGTGTCACGCCACCTCTTGCTGCTAAAATAATCTCTTTATTAGGTCGTAGGAAGAGAGCCCTCTGTAGGATCAGATCTGTTCAATCCCGCATCCAGCCCGCAGGAGGGCCACGGGGAAGGAGAAGACCACAACCGAGAACGGGTCACGAAGAACTGGACAACATCTTACCGCTGCAAACTTGCAATGGAAGCCCTTAACAATTTCTACCCCTGTGGGGAAAAAACAGTCACTGCAGGTTTTTTAATCTTCTACCCTGTTTCCCCGAAAATATGGCCTACCCTGAAAGTAAGTCCTAGCTTGGTTTTTACACGTACGCCCAATATAAGCCCTGGGTCTTATTTTGGGGGGGGGGGACATGGTAGCAAGAGGTCTAATCCCCTTCATGCCATCAAATATTACAATGACCATTGCATGCTGACTTAGCAAATTCCCTTGGGTAAAAATATGTGCTGCGTGGTAACAGGCACTATTTCACGTATCGTCAAAATCCGCAGCTGTTCAGCTCTATTTTCTCCTAAGGCTTCAGAATGTTATTTATGCCTTCTGTACATATAGGTAGCCCTCGACTTATGGCAGTTCATTTTGGGACCATTCCAAGTTTCAACAGCCCTGCAAAAAGTGACTTACGACCGGTTTTCACTCGTACAACCGTTGCAGCTTCCCCAGTCAGCTGCCAAGAGACTGGATTTTGATCACGTGACCCCAAGGATGCTGCAAACGGTCGTTAAGTATGACAAATGGTCATAAGTCACTTTTTGCAGGGCTGTTAAAAACTTTGAACAGTCGCTATATGAACTGTTATAAGCCGAGCACTACTAAAAACAACAACAGAATGAAAAACTGGTGACCTTCTACCACTGTACCATAGAGAGCATTTTAACCTACTGCACCTCTGTATGGTTAGCCAATTGCACAGGGGCAGATAGCAAAGCACTCCAGAGGGTGAATGTCATTGCCCAGAGGATCATGGGTTGCCTTCTCCCCTCTTTGGAAGAGCTTTAGAGCTCCCGCTGCCTTAAGAAAGTTCAGAACATCCTCAAAGATCCATCTCATCCTGGACACCCTTTTTATTTGAACTATTACCATCTGGCAGACAGTACAGGATAATAAAAACAAGGACAAATAGGCTGAAAAACAGCTTCTATCCCAGGGCAGTAGCTCTTTTGAATTCTACTGTATAGTGCAGTGTTAGTGCAATATCGGGGTTTTTCCATTCAATTGTATAGAATGTGAAGGATGTGTGTTTGTGTATATTTTCACAGTCATAATGTGCACGGAAGATGGTATTTAATTTCGCTGTATGAGGTGCAATGACAATAAAGTAAACTAAACTAACTTTTAGCAATATCCCGGTCAACATCCCATTTAGATTTTCACAAGGCATAAATCAATTTCCAACGTTTTTTATCCTGAAATCAAGCAAAACTGGCTACTTTGGGAATTTGTTCCAAGCCAGGTCACTCACAGAAGCTGGCCTTGGCAGGGGGGACTGGGGAGGGGGAGAAAAATAAATAAAAAAATAAATAAAAGCACACGAGACAATTGACTCTAATTCCACTTCACAAAAACGCCTTGTTAAAATGAAGTGTTGCTCTTAAACGTGGTACATTGATTTATTCGGAGGCCCGAGCCAATTTCACAACCTCCGATGACATCACCCCTTCTCTACACTGCCTGGTGTTGTGACTTGGGGACTGTGAAGCCGCGAAAGAGGAGGAGGGAGGCCTTCTCTCACACACACACGTTTAAACACACCGCCCATGCAGCCGTACAGGGCTAAGAGTAAGGGGATTAGCGATTATCCTTGGGGGGATCCATTCTTGAAATTCCCTACTGTTTTTAGCCCAGAAATAAGGCTAATGAGGTTCATGACATCTAGGGGGGGGGGGGGGGGGGGGGGGGAAATCACCCTTTTAAACCCGAGTGCCAGGTGGTGATAAATAGAAATGATGGGCCATTACAAGTGTGTTGAAATCTCTCAATGACTCAGAAAACGCAGCACAGGGGAGATATTTAGAACCACCATGCCAGCAGCCCCGTTTCGGGCATTAAAAATCGTTTTGCCGTTAACGACTTTCGCAGCAGAGCTGGTTTCTACTTAAAAGCCACAGTGATAAGTTTGTCTCTGCTTAATAATATTTCTTTTAATGGACTGGGAGGTGGGGGATAAAAAAAAATCAGGATTATACAACTCCCGTCCAACAGTATGCAACAGAGAGGGAAATTTCACATGCCAGTGAATTAAGTTCAGAAATATTATCATCACACAGTCAGCCAGATGTTCAGACTGGGTTTGGCATTTTTGTCTACCTATCGAGTCCTTCCCAAGGACCTGGGATAGGTAAATCTGGATGTTGGACGGTGTTACAGATCTCGCCGCAGGATGCAAGCTGTTCCAAGGACAGCTGCCTCCTGCAATTGATGGATGGCAAATGTGTCAATGCCACTGATGGGGTTCAAGTGATGCTCTAGTTGATTTGGGACTGCACCCAAGGCGCCTATGACTATTGGTACTACCCTTGCTTGCCTTTGCCACAGTCGTTCTATTTCTATTTGTAGGTCTTTGTATTTTGTTATCTTCTCCAGTTCTTTCTCTTCTGTTCTGCCACATCCACTATCCAGACTTTTTTGTTTTTCTTATCGACAATTGTTAAGTCTGAGGTGTTATCTATTATTATTATTATTGTTGATGTTGTTTTGTTGTTGTTCGTTATTATTAATGTTGTGGTGGTGGTTAATCTTTGATGAGATTCACAGCCTTTGGGGCTGGTTGGTAGCTCAACAGCTCGAGTCCTAACCAAGGACCTACGAACTGTTCAGGTAGCGTCGGAGGATATAAGCTGTTCCAAGTAGGATGGTTTTTTGTAGAATCAGGGTATTCAAGTCTGATAAATTCAGGATTTCCAAATACCGAGGCAGCCCTTTAGGTATTGCTCCAAGGGCTCCAATTACAATTGGGATAACTATTGGGATGATGGTGATGATGATGATGATTTAATCTTTTGTGAGATTCACAGCCTTCGGGGCAGCTCGAGTCCTAACCAAGAACCTAGGAACTATTCAGGTAGCATCGGAGGATATAAGCTGTTCCAAGTAGGGTGGTTTTTTGTAGAATCAGGGTATTCAAGTCTGAGGCCGAAAAACAGGCCTTCCAGAAATACCGGAAGTGGTGAAACAGGCCCGTTTTCAGCCTCCTGAGGCTGCAGAGGCTTCCCTCGAGCCTCTGGGAGGGCGAAAACGGCCTCAAACAAGCCAATAATTAGCTGGAAGGAGTGCGCATGCACAGTGCAAGTAAGGGGGCGGGGGTGTTGCACGCACATGTGCAGGGAGGGGGCGCATTGCGCTGTGGGTACCAGCACGCGCAGGCACGCTCTCGGCACACCACAACAAAAAGGTTCCCCATCACTGACCTCATGAAAGGTTCCCCATCACTGACCTCAGTTTTGTCAATTCCCGTTCTATTCTCCGGACCACAAATGGTCACAAGAAACATTCAGGTGGCCAAGGAGACAGGAGGAGAATTCTAGATGAGCCCTCAGCCCCAGACTCACCCAGCAATGACCACTCCGTTGCAGGAATGCACGTCACACAGAATGTTCCCGACTTCGTGCTGCAACTGGCTCATAACCCCGACGCGGTTCTGCGAAGGAAGACAAGGATTGGGTTTGGTCCAGTCCCTCAGGTCCCCCACAACAGCAAACCCCCCCCCCACAGCTTTTGGGCACCGGGGACCGGTTCCATGGTGAGAGGGTTTTTTTTGTGGACCGGAGGGGAAGTAGTTTCGCACGCTATTTGCATCGCTTACAGAAACTGCCTCTCCGTTAACCCTTATTACATTCTTGGCAGGATTAGACTTCCTGTCTCAGGAACCTCTCTGGAGTTTTTTTCCCCTCCTTTGCTGGCACTTTGCTTGTGTGGAGTGACCATTCAAAGTTACAATGGCACTGAAAAAAAGTGACTTATGACCATTTTTCACACTTACGACTGTTGCACCATCCCCACAGTCATGAGAGGCCAGGCGAAGAGATGCGTGCCTCCATGTGAGTGATGTTGAGTTGGCCACACCCAGCCAAAAACATGACCACCAAGCCACGCCCACCCAGTCACATGACCACCAAGCCACGCCCACCACCTAAGCCATGCCCACAGAACCGGTTGTTAAAACATTTGAATCCCACCCCTGCTGCAAACCACTTGGAGAGGACTGTAAAAGCACTGTGAAGCGGTATATAAGTCAAAGGGCTATTGCTAGCAAGCATAGAATCAGGCCTGGAAAGGACCTCGGAGGACGAGAGAGTCCAATCCCGTGCTCAAGACAGAAGAATTTCGACCATCCTGGTCAAATGGTTGTCCAATCTATTTTTGAAAACTTCCAGTGATGGAGCACCCATAAAGGCAACCCGTCCCACTGATTAATTGTCCTGTCTGGGAATCCCTCCTTATTTCTAGGCTGGATCTCTCTTGGGACAAGCTTATAGGGTGTTTCAAATGAGAAGTTCTTCTCCCTTACTTTCCAGTTGGTGCGCAGAGTCTGCTCCTTTTCCCGACATTCCCGGAGGGTCTGTTTCCAACAGGGGAAGTCCGAGATTTGACAGTCAGACAGATAACCTTCCTGTTGACAAAGCCGGAACCACAGGACTTGGTCTTCCGCCAGTATCTTCCACGTTCGGCTCACCTGAAAGTAGGACAATTGCTCATTGCTGAGAGTTCTCTCATTCGGTTGGGAGTGGGAGTGGAAGCACGATGCTCTCAGTGACTATGATATGCATCGCCCCAAAACAGGCCCTGCACTAACATTAAAATAGGACTTTAAAAAATTCTTAAATGTATGTTATGTCAGGATTCCGGCAGTTACCCCCAATTAAATCATGAGTCTCGAGCCAAACTTCCAAAACTTCAAAAGGATTTAGACTGGGAGTTAACATGTCCAGCAGTGCCTGGGTGTAGCCGACTCTGAGACCCATCATTCATTGTCACCCTTGACCCTGGTTTTCCCCCACCCCCTGGGTGTATCGTAATTCATATCCTCCAATGGGACACATCCATAGCCCAGAGTCATCCATCGTGCTCTCCAGTTAGGATTTTCTAAGGCAGAAACTTCGGTCACCTAGGAACTATCTTTGAAAACATTTATGGAATGCAGTTTTGGTTTGCAAGCTACCTCACTGCTCCTCCCTCTCTTTCTGTTGGCAACTCTAAAAAGACCATAGAAATATTTTATGAAATGACATGTTACCTAGTTGGGTCATGAAACATCTGCAAGAAAACAACCAAGCTTTAGAGGGCACGAAGGAAGGAGCCCTCCTTTCAACTCTGAACTACAAATAATTCTCCTTTCTTGGTAAAACATAAACGGCAGAGCCAAGACCAGAGATCCAAATCACGGACACGCTTTCTTTCTGTCCCCAAAAGTTAAGGTTCAAGTTTATTTACTCAAGGAATCCACACTGAAGACACCCACATCTCAACGAATTCTTAAATTCCAATTTGTTTACATTTTAAAGGCAGACTAGCAGGGGCGGGGTGGGGGGGAAACATCTCAGGGAAGCCAATTTCCAAGCAGCTCCAAAATTATCAGTGCTGAAAAACTCTGCAAAAAAAAGAAAAGACAAAAAAAAAACCCCCAGCCCGGAATTATTTCCCCCCCCCCCCCGCCCCCCACTTACTTTTCTCAAAAATAACCATGCAAATAATAAAGGGACATAAACACAACGAAGCCCTGTGCCAGGGGCAGGGACGGGCAAGTCTGGAGAGCGACACTCAAAAGACTGGAGATTGGTTGCCTCTGGTTACGAAGACGGAAAAGCCGGAGATGTGAAGTGTTGCTATGAAAAGAAAATCTCGGTTATGCAAAGGAAGGGAGCGAGGCGGCCTTCCCCACACAATGGCTCGCTCGGCGTTTACGGCCTAATGAGATAGCAACGGGGAAACAGACTGCAGCCTGCAGGTAAAACATGACATTTTTAATCTCTCACAATAATTACATCCTTGTTGGGTTGGGGGGAAGAGAGAGACAGAGAAAGAGAGAAACACACACACACACACAGAGAGAGAGAGAGAGAGACAGAGAGAAACACACAGAGAGAGAGAGAGAGAGAGAAACACAGAGAGAGAGA